CATGTTGATATTTGTTTATTTTTTAATGTTGGATTTATTAATTTAAAAGCATCTTCATAATTCCATTCATGTCTTATTAAATTTGTCAAATCAAAACGACGTTTTTCCCATTGAGATTTTTGTCGTATTTCAATAATTTTATCTTGATAGTAATCATCTGAATAATCTTCTCTTGTTAATGCATTCATATCACCCATTAAAATATCAATATTTTGTTCATATGGATTAAATTCTTTTATTTGATTTAATCGAACATCGTCGTTTAAATGATCTAAATGTGTTACAGCAAATATTCGATCAATAAGAAATTGATGATCACCGGTTAAACGACATTGAAGTAAAGGTCTACTATCAATTTGACATGAAAATGATGATACTTGATTTGAATGAGATTTGATTGGATAACGAGATGCTATACCATTACCAAAAAAGTTATCAACGCATGATCCATAAATAGAATAAGGTAAAGAAAGATGTTGACAAAATTTTTGCCATTTATCATCATCTTGTATTTCTTGAACAGCAATTAAATCCAAATTAAGTGATCCAAAAATCGATAATAAATCGGAAATATTACTATCAAAATTTGAGTCAAGAAAAGAATGAACATTGATTGTAGCTAAACGAAATGTCGACATTTGGCGAGGAAAAGAAAAACAATGTGCCTCGTACTAGTACAAACTAGTTTTTTTTTTCTTTTCTGTTTTATGTGCATCATGACTAATGTTTATTGCTTGCTGGAAAGATAAGTACAAGGGTGACTCATACAAGAATGATGGTCTCTATATATTGTCTCAATATCTTCTTTAGTTTGTATAGAATCTGACTGAACCTTCTTTTTCTGCAAGAGATTCATTATTTAATTTTCTGCAAAAGCATATACAATGGATATCATAGTAGTAAAAATAAAAGAATTATTATAGTAATAGTACGAGCATGTAACATCAACACCTTTAAAGCGTAAAATACCTTTGTTTTGCATTTATGTGTTCTCACAGCGAGCTACACAGACAAATTCGAAGCAACTTTTTGAAGGTCTATAAAAATCGATTGTACGATTTGTTAAAGTTTGTCTGTTTAGTTCGACATAAAAACACAAATAAAGGACAACTTTATTTTGTCTTCGAAAGTTATTGATATTCTTGTGTTCATCGAATTACTATAGTAACTATTTTACTTGCTTTCATTTCTATTAAACCCAATTGTATATGACTTTATAGAGAATTGAAATGGGAGCACGACGATTGTGTGTAAGACAATTGTGTGTACGACAATTGTGTGCAGACAATTGTGTGTATAGACAATTGTGAGAACGGACAATTGTGTGTAAGATAATTGTGTGTATGGACAATTGTGTGCAAAATGAATGTGTGCCATGTATAAATAAATATTTTAGTCAAAAAAGTGAATGACAATGAACAAAACAAAGTAGACAAAATAACAAAAAAAAATCAAGATAAACTAATC